ATTCATGCTTTTTAGTGCTACTCAAAATGGAGGATATTTTGGAATTCCTCCCGGACAGAAGGCTGAAATGTAGGACATGTCCTGGAAAAAAAGGAAGTTTGGTCACCCTGGGTTAACTGTCCCATGGGTGGATTTCCTTCTCAATCCCATCCATCACATCATTAGTCAGAATCACCAGATTGTTCAGAAGCACAAAGGGAAGCAAGGTCCAAAACACACTGCAGAAATAATCCAGCTTGAGACCGCTTTAACTGCCCTCGCTCAATGCTGGGGAATTCTTGAAAGTGAACTTTTGGGGGACATTTATACTTCTCTGTTAGAGAGCACTGGTGACACAATAAACTATAATTCCCAGGATTCCCTAGCATTGAGCCAGGGCAGTTAGAGCAGTTTCAAACTGGATTATTTCTGCAGTGTGTTTTGGACCCAAGACTATCAAAATGGACACGGGAAATGACCCCTTGCCTGTCTCTGGGACACAGAGGGTGGAAAAACACCACATACTCTACTTTGGGTTTGAAAAGTTGCATCTGGTGTTGGAAATTCACAGGGAATAAACTGGGACAGGAGGTATATTGTTTAGATAATTTAAAAGAGAGAGAGGGAGAACTGGTACAAGGGTTGCTAAATCTCGAGGCTTTTTGCCAGTCCAGATGAGTCCTGAAATATCATCAGAAGATTAAGAGAGTGGGTTATACAGCAGAAGGTGCTCTGTGAAATATTCAGGCCTCAAGGTATATAGGGCTTCACAGGTAAGAACTAGAACTTTGAACTAAGCCTGGAAAGGAATTGGAAGCCACCCTAGATGCTTCAGAATGATAAAACAGGAGGAAATAAAAAGCAAGCCTGTTTATAAGCAGACCTTTTGAGGAATGGAGACGTCAGGGTCTAGCAATGACACTCTCATTCCAAAGAGAAACATGGCCAGTTGTAGCTGTACACTAAATCAAACACTGAACAATAAATTGAATTATTGTTCGGTTCTGTTTATTTAAGAAGCAAGCCAGAAAGCTCAGCAGGCAAAGACTTTGCGAGTGTTCTGGAAGAAATAATTTCACTTTTAAAGCAGAAGTCTGTAGGAGTGGTGAAACTGGCATGATCTCCGTGGGGACCAGAAGAATTTTAGGCTGAGATGGATCAGTAACCTGGGACAATTCCCCATTATGATTAATTTGCTCTTCCCCCTTTCCATCCAAGTTTTTCTGACATGAGTTCACTCAACTGTAATAACAAATAGTCAAGTTTTTGGAAGACGTCTGGTGCATGCAGCAGTCCTCAAATATGCAATATTTATAAAGAAGGTGCTGGCTGCACTGGCCAGATCCTGACATAATTATAGAGTTCAGAAAAAGTTCTTTATTTGGACTGCTTCAAGTCATATCTGACATGACAACCCTAAGGTGAACCTATCACAGGATTTTCTTGGCAAGTTTTTTCAGAGGGGGTTTGCCATTGGAATTCTTTGTGGCTGAGAGAGTGTGACTTGCCCAAGATCACCCAGCTTGGTTTTATGGTTGGGCTGGGATTGAGCCCTTGTCTCCAGAGTCATAGTCCAATGCTCAAATCACTATGCCACGTTGGCTTGCTACAATTTTCCGATTCCTGGTAGGAGATCCTGGGAGTTGTAGCTCAAACAACATAACTCTCTCAGAACATGGGAAATTACTTTGGGGAAGTAATTTATTGCTGTACTTGTTTAGAAAGTAGCCTGATGCTATTATCATTTACACTAGTGGGTATATTACCAGCACTTACTACTTTCCCATTACTTTCTGTTACTTTTTTTATGGGGAAAAAGTGCCTTTTTAAAAAATAAAAAAATAAAAACCGAAAGTCCTGCCAAACTGGCTACAAAAATAGCAAGAACCAGTTATTGGTTACAGTCTCATTACAAAAAAAAGCAAGTAAGGGTTATTCAGACTTTATTTAGTGCAACTATGCGAATAAACTCACACATTTCAATTTTGTTTCACACTGTTTTTTATCAGAACTGCATTTATGTACATTTCTATAAGTTCTGTTGCTCACACATATCAGCACTCTCATAAAGATGGAGCCGATGATGCAAATGTATTTGAAACACGTTCAAGAAATGCAGAGTTTTATTCCGGTTTGTCCTGGGTCTTTTCGCATTAGTTATTCACACATCTGACAATGCAAATCTTTTAGGAAAACTTGGAAAAAAGCCAGAGATCAATTATCCTGGGTTCAGTGGGTTTTTTGGCAGCCCCGCGCAAAAAAACTTACCTGGGTGCATTAAAAATGCATGTGAACAAAAAAGATTCAACCCACATTCTACTGGGATTATTTTCACCATTTGAATAACCCCCGAGTTACAGAGAACTGTGTTATTGTGACTTGTTATGTCCAAGCTCTGTGTGGC